AACCCAGCGAAGGGCCGGGGGGTTGGCAGCCGTCGTGCGTGATGCTCAACGGCCCCGAATCGCCTGGTGCTGTGGTGCCAACACACGTGGCTCAGGAGTGCCATTCCTGGGGACGGTGTCCGCGCTGCCATACATGGCTGGGTCTGGGTCTGGCGTCGAGCCCGGGCTGGCCGCTGCCAGGCTGTTTCTCGTTACCTGGGAGCATGTGGTGCTGCTGCCTTCCCAGGGGTGCTGGGGGGTGAACGGCTGTGCCGGAGCTGCCCCTGCACTCCTGGCCTCCCGCTTCGGTTCCCTGGGCTCTGCAGGGGGACATGGGGGCTTTCTCAGCTGGTGGCAGAGTCCCCTTGGCACCCAGGGGAAAGGGTTACTGGTAAATAAACACTGAGGAGCGGGTACAAAAGATGGACATGTTTGAAGAGCACAGCCCCGGCTGGGCACAGGCTGGGACAGATACCTGGGTTTATATACCCCAGTTTTGCTTGCACATGTGTAACACGTAAACTCATGTAAATCTTTACCAGGTACCGGTGTCCCTCAAGAACACTTTGCCCTCGCTATTTGCAGTGCCAGAGTGGAAACACACCACGGTCTGTCCGTCCCAGCAAACCCTGCCGAGGTAGGTAAATATGTTCGTTCTCATTTTACAGATGGATAAGCGGAAACAGAGAGATACCAAGTGACTTGCCCTAAAGGTTAAACACCAGGTCTGAAACATAACCCAGGACTCCCGATTGAAGAACTCGTGGGGCTGTTTCATTAAAGATATCCAGGAAATTAAACCATTTTAAGCTGACAGGGCAGATATTGTAATTCTAAACCTCTTCTGCAATGTGGTCTTCTAAATTCACAAAACTAATTCAGTTTTACAATCCTCTTGTGTAAATCGCAACCTGGCTTCAATACAATGAACATTTTTGTCCCACTAACAAAACGTTTTACTCTGCTGCAGTTAGAAACTGCCCCAGTCCGAGGCAGACGGGCAGGGGCATTCTGCAGCATTGCGCCATCTGCAAGGACAGAGTGTTTCATTGCCACTGGATTTTTTTCTATCCCATATTTTTTCAATTTGTATTGAAGTTTTCTCCTCCTTTTTTTTTCTGTTTCATAGCCTTGTAGAATCCTATCCTCCCCTAAACCTAAAATGGGCTAAAGTTGTGCTCCGGAGCTCCTTGCTGCTGTGGTTGGGCTCCTTCGTGCCTTGCCACGGATGGTGTGACAATGCACTGCGTTCCAGCCTGGGGCTGACCCTGCTGTGTGGCATCAGGGATTGAGTTGGGGTCGCAGTGGTGGGGAGCGCAGCCACAGACCAGGGTGGCTACTGTCACCTGTAAGCATGGTTGCCCTTCAGAGGTGGCTGAAACCTGGGTGAGACCACCAGCATTCACCGTGTGAGTACTTAGGTGCAATGAACTTCTTCATGTCCGTCCCTCTCTGCAGTGCTCGTGAGCAATAGCTAGTGGGAGTATTTTAATTTGATTGATTCTTCAAATGATAAAAATTCAGTTTCATGTCATGTCCTATCCCTGTGGTTGGTGAAGTGGCTTTACATTCTTCGGGTGTCTGTGTTTGTGCTGGGTTGGAAGTCTTCTTGAAGAACCAAAGTTCAGAATTTGACCTCAGTGGGACCCACTTGATCACCTGTTTTCTTACAACACTGCAGTGGTTGCACACCTAGCAAATAGAGCTGATGACATAATTTTTGATTAAATATATCTGTGATTATATGTGGTTTTGGTTAAATGTTGTTTGCATTTTGATTAATGTCATTGAAGTCAAAATGCTCTACAGCAAGATAGTGATTTCAATAATTTTTTCAATAAACACTTTTCTGAAGCCACATCTGTCCGCAAGAAAGAGAGCCGGGGGAACTAAAAATAGGTATTTTTGATCCAGATACAGCATTTCCCCACAAATTAACTTTGCAAAAACACTTTTAAAAGTTTTTGCACCACTTCCAATGAGGAATGCTGCAGAGCTGTAAACCTCGCAAGCTGTCTCAGAATGGCTTTGGTGTCCTGTAGCCGCTGGTCCCGTCAGGTCTGCTCGCTTTGTGTGTCTGAGCATGCTTGGAGGAAGGCAGGGGAGGTCAGACTCCACGCTGACTTTCTTCTTCCTGTTTCCACTTTTCTTCCAGTGATTTCTGTTTCCCCCCATGGATACATCTCCCCTCCAGGCCACAACTGCCTTGTGTTTACAGACTTCTCATCCTCACGGCTTGTCGAAAGCCATATGGCAACTCTCACAGCCAACAGTGGATTTTAGGAGGAAGGTCTCTTTCAACTTTCTGCTTGTGAATTCAGATTTTTAAAGTCATGAATGAAATAATTTTGGTTTATATGCAATTGGGAATTTCTTTCTAAGAGCTTCAGTTTGCCTGTTTCAGGTGCAGCGCAGCAGGGCCGCATTGAAACCTGCAGGAAATCCTTCGTTACCTGGAGACCTGCGTGTGAGCAGCTTGGTGAGTTGCGTGCTCCAAGTAAACCAGAGATGCTCGATTTCATTATGGCAAAGTCAATCTAAATACACTCGTCTGATTACAGCCTAGTAACTTTGAAAGAAGCCTCACACCTCGTAGATGATTTTTAAAGTGCTAAAATTCGGAAAAAGCTAAACCACAAATTACATGCGTACCTGCATTCAGGTGTCTCTGTTAGATTATATCGAGGTTATAATTTGATTCCATCATTTTCACAATAGAAGTTTTATATCGGTAGTGCATGTTGCACATTGCCCTGGAGCACAGCTGGTTTGAGTTAGAGGAATATCCCTGAAATCTCATCTGTGCCAGCAATTCCCACCCAAGCCCCCACTGCATACAAATGCTACTTTAGTTCTGGTAAACACAGAGTGATAACTATGGAGAGTTTATCTCAGCTGGATCGAAACAATGCTTGCTTTTAGATAAGGCTTGTTTTACACGTGCTGCTGGCATGAGGACGGGTAGATACTGAGGACGGGTAGATGCTAAGAGCCGTGTATTCCTGCAGAGCATTCTTCGTTTTACAGATGTGGTCTGGGCTGCATCCGAGTGCTCTGCAGCAGCGCTGGGCTCCTCACACCAGCTGAATAAAGTCCATGATGGATGCTTGCTGTGGGACGGTCCAGACGGCAATGGCATGACTGGTTTTAACTGAGGAAAAACCATCGTTAGTTTGTTCAGTGTCCTGCAGGAATATGGGTGGGATTTTGAAACTGAGGCATAGCTCCCTTCGGTCTTTCTAAAACCTTAGCCCTTCTGTAGCATGTGCTTAGCCCCAGTCTCCTTCTTCATATTAAAAGAAAAAGAATTATGAACTAAAATTTAGGTCAATTCCTGTGTTCTTTATGGCTACAAGAAACTGCTGTGTGAACCCTGACTTCCATGAAGTGCTGTGTGTGGGAGAAAAGCTGAAGAAACATTTTCAACATTTGTGGCCCTGTAGGCTCTTTGCTTAAACTTAAAGGCTGGAGTTACTCTCCAGTTGTCAGTTGCATTAACAAAAAACGTGGGAAACCCCTTATAAGCATAAGAAAAAAAGGTATTGCAGGAGGGGCATTGACAAATGACCCTTAACGACAACTTAAACTATGATTTTGAAGTTGTTTTCGGCATTAAGCATCTGTGCACTGCCATCCAGTGGGCACCGGGGAATTGGCTCCCTGTCACCCACCTCTGATGGCGAAGCGCTGCACAGAGGTACGGCGCGTCCCTGCGCATTTTCAGTTAACATAGGGGGACCCCTACATGGTCAGGGATTCCTGGTGACCCCCCTACTCTGTCCCAGCGAAGAGACGGGGGATGGAGGAGTGACGGTACCCTGGGCACGCTGCCGGTTGTCAGCAGGGATGACTACAGAAGCCCACAGCCCTTCATCTGCATCGCCCCGTCCCGGTCTGTGCAGCCCCGTGTGGGGTCGTGGCACAGCCACAGGTTATTGTAGGGTTCAGCGGAAGACACAGGGTGTTGGGAGTCTCTGAGGCAGTTACCTGTAGTTCTCTGAGCAATCCTCCTTTTGCATTTCCAGCCCCTTACAAGGAGAAGCCCTGGGCTGTGGGCAGGAGTCTATTTTAGAGCTCCCTCAAAGACTGCATCCCAATTACTTTATCAGCTGGTTTATTAAAAGGTATTTTCTATTTCCATATAAACTCAGCTGGACAAAAAAAACAAGAGAAAGTTACATTATTCACTGTGCCAAAATACTATATGCACTTTCAGATGAATTTGCAGAGACAGCCCTCTGTGCTGGGAAGCTCAGAGGTGGGAAGCATGAACACTTCAGTTGCACTTCACCTGATGGTCTGTTCAGACCCTAACTTTTGCATGTTGCATACTTGCTTTCCTGCTCCATGATTTCATTTTTAATGGCTATCACTTGTTCTTCTAGTTGTCTCAGTTGCTCTGCCTTGTCTTGTTTGGTTTGACTCAGGTCCTGAAGCTTCTTCTCCAAATCTGGAAGAACAGAGACATGCAATGATGCTCATATTTGTGGTGTAAGTAAAATCCAGGGATTAACAGCATTTCTAGAGGCAATAAGCCCATTTCAAATGGGGAATGTTATATATGCAACTGGAGGGAAAAGTATGGCTTCTGGATTGCGAGAGAAACATGACAGCCTTAAAGAAATTAATTTCTCAGCATGTGCTTTTGTCCATCAGCTAGGATGGGGCAGGACGTGGAGCTCTTAAAGGAGTTGGCTTAAATGGAAACACTCAGAGGAACAGTGTGTCCACCGATGTGCGTAAAGCCTAGACAATTCGGGTGTAATGGGCTTAGGTCTCCATCATTTACAGGAGTGTTTCCGCCGGTCCCTGTGAAGCTACACCAGTGTAAACATAGTGGTAATCAGTCAAAAACACATTATTCACTGCCTGTTTCACTTATTATCTGGGCATTTGGAGTGATTGGGATGCTCTTAATGCTTTTCCTCGAGGTATCTGCTCGAAGTATTTATTTGGGTCCTGTCCTGAAGAATTTGCTCCCAGGATGGAGTTTCTGCTTCTGTTTTGCTGATGTTACACGGTATTTTTGGACGCTGAGCCTGGCAGGATCTGAGGCCCAAGGATTCCCAGTGGAAATGCCCAGACCTTCACTACAAGCAGAATTAGGTCCCCTGTGTGCAATTACATGAGAGGTACTATTCTGTTTTGGTGACCCTCTAAACCCAGCCAAGAGGCTGTGTGAGGAGCGGTGCCGCAGCAGCCGCGGTCTCCGCTACGCGCGACCCCTCTGCCTCCTGGCCGCAGCCCCACAGGTCCAGGGCACATCAGCTTCAATCTCCATGGCAGTGCACGTGGGAGATGACACCAGCGTGTGGACTGACGTGACCGAGGCGTGTACTTCAGCCCTGCTGCCTGCGGTGGGACACAGATGTTTCTCTATGTGTTCGAACAAGCCAGTATTTGTACCTGGTTTGTTCTGCCATTGCTCAGAGATAATGTCTGAAGGGGAACAGGTACGGACTGATGAAAAACAGCTACCCTGCAGCTCTCTAACACGAGCCATCACTCAGGTAATGTAAGAACAGACAGAACGCAGAGGAAGATTTAAGGTCCAAATGCCCAAAGCAAGTGAATAAATCAAAGCTCCCAGCTAAATCTGCAGCCAAGCTTTATGCAGATTTTGCACTTGTCCTGCTTTTAAACTGTCTGAATCAAATCATTGCAAGTCTGTGTGGACACTTCTTAAACTCTTCTTATAGCAACCAATTTATGTCAGAAAAAGTACATGAGCCAAATCAATTTAACTGCTTTTAAACTGTTTGGGTAGCTTCAAGCAGGGATTTTCACCAGTTAAATTGTTTTAAACCTGATTTCAGGTGAACCTAGTCTGTTAGTGTCTGTGGGCAAGGACTTCAGTTTAAATCATGACTGTCACAGTTTTCACCGCTCGCTATGGAAGTGAGAACATCACCTGTTATTCTTTTAATTTTTTTTTCAGTCTCTTCAGCCAGTTTTTCTGCTTCTTCTTTCAGCTGCTTCACTTTTTCTAGTGTTACTTTTGGAGGTCCTCGGGCTTTTAGCTTTTCTTGAAGAATGGTGTACTTTCTGTTAATGTCAGCAAATTCCTGACAAAACAAAAAGCCATTACTTGGTTTAAAAGCATCTCATAATTAATCTGGTGTACCAAAGGAAATTTTTATACCTTTTTTGAATATCCTCTTTGAACAAAACTTTAAATCTCTCATTCTCTTAAATCATAAAAAAAAAAAAAATCCATGAGTGTATATTAAACAATGCTTTGCAAAACCTGATAAAAATCAATTAAACTGCCAGTGGAGCAATGTAAAGTGTGAAGGGAGGGCGAGGATGTGAAGAAAATACAATTTAAGATTTTTAAAGCTTATGCTGTTTTTACTTCTTTTGATAGGACTTTTCTGTAAATTTCATTTTTGCTATGAGGCTTAATTCAAATGTAATGAATTACCTGCAGCATCTTTTTTTTTTTTTTACTACATTTTTGGCTGTAGTAATATTTACTGGCTAACTCCATTTCATGCCGATTTAGATTGCTGCCGAGGCTGCAGTTTAGATTTCTACTAGCTTTCTTATAACTTGGAAGCTTGGTCATGTTCCAAGCTTGTGCTGTGGGTGCCTGGTTCTCCTTGCAATTTTAGCAAATTTCTAGCTGCCTCAATGCATTCTCAAAAATTGGAGCTACTGAAAAACACCTGGCCAACCAAAAATTCCAAGTAACTCCCACAGCAGTTTTCTCTGAAGGAGGATGGCATGGGATGAATGGCCAGGCTGCTTCCATCACTCACGTATTTTAATATCTGGTTTTGTGATTTGTTCTGTTGTGTTTACTGGTGCCCATGGTGACTACAAGTCTTATACACAGCGCAAGGAAAAACGTCACGGAGTAGCCAGAGAAATGTGTATGTTTTCTTTCATTCAAGCAAACAGAAGTGTTATTTGCCAGAAGCCTTAAAATAAGAAAGAAATTATTCTTAAGCTGTGGCATTTTACACTGCATGGCATAAGGAAAACGTTAACACAGTTTTGAGGAGAGCAGGGCAACACAATTACACTTCTGAATGAAAAATACTATCAAACACGGAGGGAATTTTTTTTCCCTTAATACATGGCAGAAAGGCTTACATTATCAATGTTCTGGGCTTGCTTGTGTGCTGCTTCTGCCCCTGCTCTTGCCTTTGTAGCTTCATTCTTGTTCATCAGCATTTTTGCCTGCAATGTGGCAATTTCATCTTCCATCTCAGACTGTTTTGCTGACAAGTCATTTAGTTCGTCATTTGTCTTGTTCATTTGGTTCTCAGCCTAAAACAGAGCAATTGAAGGCTGTGGTTTCGTACGCAATGTCCATCCAGCTTGCAGAACGTGGTAATGAGGGAGATTAATGTCAACTGATTAAGAAGAGGAGACCCTTAAACATTATGGAATCGGTGTCATATCTGCGCTACATTCTGGTTTTATTTATTTAAGTTTACATTAAGGAAACTTCAAGATGAAGTATCTTTTTCTAAAATGTATGTAGTAAATAAATTAAAAGATTTACAGTGAGATACCTGTGAGATTTGTGTTTTGATGCCTCGTATCTCTTCATTTAACTTTATGAAGGTGTTTTTGGAGTGTCCTTGGGACTTCACAACATTTTTTAGTTTATTATTGATTTCATCCACAGGCGGAAGAGCTTTAGCTGCTTTGCTAAAATGGAAAAATAGAAGCGTGTGTAGTATCATGGTGTGGAGAGCAAAGCAAGCACACGTTTCAAATACACCCATGCTTACATGCAGGAATGTTCCCTCGAGTCTAATGACAACCGTTAAAATTGTGGTTTGTAAGTTGGCAAAGCAAAACCTCACTGCGGGACCTTGTGTGGGAGCACACGAGCTGCTGTATTAAAGGTGAGGCTGGATGCTGCCTGGTGGTGCACTGCTAGTAAGGAAAGCTCGTTTATGGGTGAACATACTTTCTCTATCCCCGTTTTAAACCTCCCAGTGAACCAGATGTAAGGATCCACTAGGTCCACCATGGAAGTACGTAGCTGCCTTGGCCTCTTTGACTCAGCAGGCGAAGAGCCAAGAGCTGGTGGGAGCTGCCTCCTTGCAGCACGTCGGTTCCCGCAGCGTGAGCGATCGTGGCTCGTTCCTGCTGGAGAGACCCTGTGGAAATTGCAAGCTGAAATCTGCTGTCATCTGAGCTTTCCCTCCAGTGTTACCAGATACTGCCTGGGGTATGGAGCAGTCCTACTGTGCACAGGGCCACTCCAGCTGGAGTTAGCACATCAGTAGGAGAGTACCCTACTCACTCGGCTTCTTGTGCCTCCACCAGCAGCGTCTGAGCTTCCTCCCTTTTTCTGTTTCTCTTGCGCTCATTCAGTTTGTACTTCTCACAAGGGTTCATAATGCTCCTGATTTTACCAAGCATCCCTGTGAACTCTCGTGGAGTCAGGGGAAGGTTTATTTGCAGAACATAATTTGCCACCTTCTCAATGTCTTCTGGAGGTGCGCTCTCATCTGCAACAGAAATGGAGCTGAGGGTTTCCTGAAGTGGCTCCTTCCCCCCAGTGAAATGTAAATGATCATTATGGCTGCCTACCCTTTGAGTTATGTGGCAGAATGAAGCTGACAGGCACAGCAAGGGGGTAAGAGAATTATCTCCAACATTTTGTAATTTAATACTATGCTTCCAGGTACTGCTGTTAGTGTTGTCAGAACTGGCTAAAATGAGGATTTGAATCCACTTTGAACTGGGTTATTAAAATTCTGATGTAGAACTGAGCCCGTGGAAGGTTTTAAATCGGTGCACGGCACAGCTAGATGTGTCAGAGCCCGTTTCTCCCTTGGCCCCCAGATCAAAGAGGCGCTGGAGAGACTGGGGTGTGAATGGAGCTTTCCAAGCCGGCTGGTGGGTGTAATCCCTTCCCTGGAGCCGCTACAATATTGAGAAAGCAGTTCCTTCGCTGGTTAATGAGAAAGGCTAAGCTACAGAGGGAACTTGGGTCAGACTCAGATAGGATGGGAATTTACAGTAGACAAAATGTATTTTGACAACACCTCTTACAAATGATCTCGTCTTAGTTCTTTGGTAAGAGGCAGAGGCACACGGAGTTAGAGTAGTCAATGCAGTGACTACTCTAACTAATGCAGTGAAGTCTCATCATCACGTCTGTTTTCTGCTCACTTCCCTTTATAGAAAAGACCTTGGGTTATAAAAGAGTTGAAACATATTAAATGTTTGTGCTAATGCTCCAAAGTAACTCACCAAGAATTAAATAGAAGGTGTTTACTGTGCAAACAGTAGTGCATTCCTGAAAGCTATTTTCTGCAGAAATACATTCTAAAACTATGTCAATGTAGAGTACAGCAGATTTAATGTAACTGTGCGCATCTCAGCTGTTACAGTTCTTAAACTTCAATTTACAAAACAAAAATTTATGAAAAAATGCTTTTGTAATTGTTAGTAAATGCCGTATGTCTACTAAGAAACATAAAAGAAGAGCTAAAGGTGGAATTTTCAATTGCTATCAAATAAAAATCTGAGAATCTTAAGGGCTTAAATGGAGTTTTTCTTCCAATTCAATAAAATAACTTACATATTCCTCAACAAAGGAAGTCCTCTGTTCTCTGCCCTTGCTCCCATTTGGATGTAGAGGTATGAATGCCAAAGGACTGCCAACATGCAATCCTTAGAAACTTATGAGATCAGCTACATTCAAGAGATTAAAAAAATCCAAATCCTACCACATTTGAACTCCTTTGATCTGGTAAAAAAACTTAGGATCCTTTTCTTACAGCATTTTTCTGTAATTGCGAGGGTAGAAAAAGTTTTAGGGTATATATGGTTGTTTTGTTATTTTTTATGAGAGCTGTGAAGTTCTACCAGAATCCTTTGATTCCTTGAGTTACAGCTTTACGGAGACGACAGAGCAGTATGTGTCCTAATTCCCACGCTCCCTACGGAGAGCCTCTATTTATGGGCCTGGAAGAAGGGGGTGGAATAACAATTTGAGGATGCATTGGACATGCCTGGACATTATATATTGTATGAAATTATGTTAGTAGTCCTTTACTCAGATAAACCAGGAGCTGAGGGAATTACTTGCATGCTTCACATTAAGCAAATTAATAAAAGATGACAATTAGAACGTAACAGACCTATTGGAAAAGTAATACAAAGTACTGTCACATGGGAGAAAGAAGCACTAGAAAAAAGGGATTGAAAAAGATTGCGCAGATCAGGAGGTAGACAAGAAATTTGATGTGTATACAGCTAGACCATTTTCTAGCCATGTATTATGTTATATTGTATTGGAATATATATTAAAAATTAGTCAAAAAGAACTTTGCATATTTACCTAACAAGAAGTCTTTTACTTTTCGGATGAACTCCTTAGTGATCTCTTGGTCAACTTCAATTTGATTCTTAGCTGTCTCCAGTTGCCCATTAAATTGTGAGCCTTTCAACTTGCTGTCTTCTGCCATTTTTCTAATGCTTTCAACCTGGAAATATTATTAGAAATAGCAGTGCCATTTTCTGGAGGTTATCTATCATTGCTTGGCAAGTTGAGCTCTGACACAAAAATAATTTTGATCCAAGCCTCAGCTGGAATTGCTTGATGTGGCTTTGAAAAGTAGTAGGAGACTCCTTTGGGGAACTCCAGAAGTTGCTACATCATGGCCTTCATCTGGCCTCAGAAAAAGCTTAAATCAAGCATTTTTTTCTCTCTGCAACCACTGCTAAACCACAGGCCCTTCTGTTTCTAAAAGAAGATGCTGACTATTATTTTCTATTGCTGTATTGCAGCACGTCAGTGATCAGATTCAGTACAGAAAAGGCACATAATTTCATTTGCCTTTTCACATTGGACTTGCTGTTAAAAATATACCTAAGAAGACACAAATAAAGAAGGTAGAGTTTAAGGCTTGTCTTTAAAAGTTACATTTTGCCATTAAATTAGTATTCTTGATCATTTAAATGAGAGCTTTAGATTCACCATCAAATGCCAACAGTATTTTGCTTTGCTGGGGGCTATGCTTTGCTTTAATGAAATCTATAGGTACTGCCTCTCTGGTCTGTGGAGGGAAGAGATTCGCTGTTCCCCCATGCAACAATAAAAACAGTGATGTTTTTACTTTTGAAACATCTCAAAATACTTCACACATGTTATCATAGAGCTGCTTGAAGCTTGTGAGTGCCAAAGGCAATGTCCCAGCAGCCTGGTTCTTGCCGCCTCAGTACGGGATGCCTTTCACTGCTGCCCCTCTGTGTCCTGGGGCCCAGGCATGTGCCCCGATTGCTCATTTCTAAACCCGTTAGCTGTGATGCAGCGTGTCGCGTGTACTTTAAAAGGAGGAAATGGATGCCCAGGCACCCTGCAGGGATAGGACAAAGCCACAGCAGAATGACATTTCTGTTGGAAAATGTGTTTTGCCTGTAATGGTAACAGGCATCATCTCTGATTGCTAATGAGAACAAACTGTCTTTCCTGGTGTTTTGGGATTTGTCTGTTCTGTTTCCTTTGCACATGCTGCATTGGCCACACATTGCTTGAGTTATTTTCACTGCTACTGTGCAGTACAGCCGATTACTTGATGCCCTTCTAAACATCACCGGGAGCAGAAAAGCTTTGGCTTGAAATTATTCGCAAAAATTCTTCAATGGCAAACATAAGAGTAATATGAAGTTGTATAAATTGAGCTTAATGCTATGCACAGCAGTAATCCCACTGCAATAAGCATGGGCCATACTCAGGCTACTAAGTACCCTTTGAATCTTTCCCGATAAAAATGTAGACAATACTAGCCTGATGCCACCAACTTCCATAGGCACAGGGCACCATGACCCATGAGATCTTGGCAGCAGAGGAAGAGGAAGGCATACCTACAGCAACAGTCCCTTGGTGGGACTGGCACCTAATACTGCCAGTACTGAACCATGGTAGGTCTATGGTGTTGGGACAGAGTCTATCACTACGTCACTGCTCTTTGTCCAAGGAGCAGGTGAGTTTTTATAGATTTGGGACCTCCCAAATCTCATCCTCCATCCATTTCACTGAATAAACGTAGGTTTGATATACACCACCTGATTCTCAGGTTCCCGTAACTGAGTAGTCAAGTTACTTAGCAACACAGCAGTCTCCTCAGCTTTTCTGAAGGCATCAGTGGAGAGAGGAAGAGCTCCGCTGCAGTTTGGGCCACCACACTGCCTGAGTCGGTGACTGTCCCGGCACAAAGCTCCCCCGCAGGCTGCTGTGACACAAGGCTGGTCTCCTGGCACACCACAGATCTGCAATAAGGAAGATGCTTATGTCAGGACTCCTCTGGGGGCCTGAGATACACTCCTGGGGGAAGGAAGATGTTTGACGTCACATGAACATTGAACTTTCTATGGGATTTTCCTGAAGAGACGGTGGTCTGGTCTCTTCAACGATGCGTGTCCTGCCGGTTACAGGTCCCCCTTCCCTGACGTGAAGAAGGCAATGGCAGCCCATGGCTTTGAGCCCATCCTTGCAGGAGCCATTTGTTGGGCTCCATGTGTTGCACTAAGACCCTTGCTTCACTCCTCTATGGCAAAAGGGCTGAAACTGTCCCCTGGCCATATACAGCCCATAGGTCAATGGCTTGTTCTAAAGCATTCAGATCACGTCTCACAAAACATGGTACCATGTATAGCCCTCCATATAGTTTGACACAGATGTTGAGACTAAAGGCCTAGATGGATGATCTCTTCCAGTTCTGGCAGTGTTGGCTGAAGGTGCCATCAGCTATTCACTGCTGCCCCACAGAAGGACAGAAATCCCTTCGTCTCCCATGGGTGATGCAAAGGATATGTGAGCACTCCCCATCCACTCCAGGGCAAAAATGCTCTGCTCAGTTTAAGCCACTGATGGAGGAGGTTGGGCTTAATCTTTCTGAATTTACACGAAGTCCTCTTGAGACTAGAGAGTGCTTCAACAGTTCCTTGTGCTGGGCCTGCCCTGGAAGCAATAGCTTCCAGGAGCATAGTAATAACCACAGCTGAGGAGTGCAGCTGTTTCTGACATGACTGCACGTCTGTGCCAGGAAAGTGTCGTTTTCCAGATTTAAAATGCACGTAAGTACTCTTTTAAAATAAAAACTACTAACAGTATCAAAAAAGAGGTTTTTGTTTAGCTCCCATTCAAAATCCACAGCGCCTACCTTTTCATTCAAGTTTTGGATGTTGGGGCTCTTGATCATCTTGAGCTGCTCCAGCACGTTGCTTTCTTTCAAGGCCTGATGTCCCAACACAGCGAGCGCGTGGTTCCTGGTGTACTCTGAGTATCTTACGATAGGGGTTGTCCCACTGATCTTCCGCTCTGCCAGCAATGATACTTCAAAGTGTTTCCTAATGTTGCTGATGGCCTCTATAGCAACAGAAATAGTACCGACTGCATTTTGGTTGTATTTAGTTCATGTATTTACTTGAATTCTGGATAAATGGTGAGTGACAGGTGATTCAGTTTGTTGTCACTGGTGTTTGATTTGGGACAGCAGAGAGGGACAGGAGCTGTCAAGCTTTTTAATCCTTTACTCAGCCAGCTGCCAAACAGGAATCGTTATTGATACCCATGAAACCTGCTAAAACAGATGGAAATACAGTGGATCCCATGTCATTCTTCAGAGTCCAAGGTGTATGAGAAACCAATGGAAGATACAAAAGTATGAAGGGGATCCCATTAGTGACACAAACTGCTACGGATCTGCATTCATCAGTAGCTCATGCATTGCTGTTGTTATTGATTTGATAAAGCTCCTGTCATTTATGCTGTTTTGAAGCTTAGGCAGGAGAACTGTTTCTGCCAGTTGTAAAACCTATGAAATGATCAGCTCGCTGATTGTGAGTCAGGAAGGCATTTGTCCTGTCTCTGTTCAGCATAGCACCCAAAAGTTAAATGGTCTGCTGAACTGAGGCCAAAATTTAGATTAAAATGGGAATTTATGAGTTTTCTTTGGCTCTGGAAAATCCAATTTCAGGGTTGATGCATTAAAAAAAAAAGCATTTCCATGATAAATTTGTAGGCCAGGCAAAAAATACTCTCCAGCAAGTCTTTCTTGTTTGCTTAGTGTAAGCTTTCCCTTAAGCAGACTCAAAAGGGTTGGAGAATATTACATTTTTTGCAGATTAGTAGCCTAAGGAAAGGACTCAGGCCTTTTGCAAAACACATAATTTAAAGCTGCTGCTGTCGAGGCTTCCCGGATATCCAGAGAACCAAAAGTTTTCCCCAAATCCCCAGGCAGAAGTATGTGCAATGAGCCAGAACTGATGTGTCGGCAGTGGAAAAGAATTAGAGGTCATTGATTAACATCCCTCTTTGTGCTGGTAACCGATCAGTTACTGGTTGAAGTCAAGGACAAGGCACTTGTCAAGTCCTGTGTGCTTTGAATCAGGCACTGAAGTCCTTGGCCTTGCTTTCATTGAAGCTGAACAATGTTTAGTTATCATGTGGAACCAGGGATATTTATTTTATCTTGTAACTCTTGGAAACAATGTACAGTTTAAAGCTAGCTCCTAATGCAAAATACCTGGCAAGAGGCTGCTGTAACTCCAGAGACTGTTTTCTGTGCAACAGTTCCATCGCAGGAATATTTTACAGTGGTTCAGCTCTCCATTAAGTGGCCCAAATGTGTTTTGCATGCTTGGTTTGTGATGGAGCTGTAGAGCTTCCAAGTTCCTTTACGTTAAACACAGCGTCTTCGCACAGGCTTGATTTACAGCCTAGGAAGCCGTACTCACTGCATTACCATACCACAGTGGCTGCAAAGCCAGGGGCCCAGGCTGGAAAGCCATAATTTAATGAGATCTCATAAACTGCAAACATTCTTTTAAGGACACTTGTGTCTTGTTTTTTCCAGTTATTTTAATTCATCATTAGATATCGACATTTCCAGGTCAGCCAGCTGAATGTATGCCTGTGAGGAAGTCTCTGAGTCCTGAATTCTTGTTCGCTTAATCCTCTGCAAAGAGAGGTAGGTAGGAGCCCATTCTCCACGTGTGTCTAGAGCACAAGTGCCAAATGTACCCCAGATGGGGTACATGGCCATATCCTGCTCTACCCCACTTGCTTGGGCCAGCAAAAGAGAGAGAGGAAAAAGCAGACAGAGCAATACCTAGATATGCTGCTGGTCCTGAAATGAAGATGGGGTGAGGGAGCCAGGCTTTCTCCTGGATATCAGAGAAACTGGTTATCTTGAGGGAAACGTTATTTCTGTGCTGTTAGATGCTTGGTAGCAAGACCAATGAATATTTGTGGCCGTGACCAGAAATTCAGCTTAAATTCAAGGTCTTCCCCTCCCCACACCCCCGTGTCCTTTTTATAGGACTGTTTATCCGTCTCCTGAGGCCAAAAGACGAAGCGGGTTTGGAATGTGACCAGACAGCATCATGGATGCTTCAGCTGTGCATCCACTGACCTCCCTGGGATTTATTGTTTCTTTGCCTTCCTGCCTTTCTCAGAGTCTGCACAAGACTGAGTTGAATTGGGAAGCGGAGCCTGGGAGAGCTGTGCTGACCGCTCGTGCAGGGACCCCAGGGGAAGAGCCGGCCCCGGGGGCACTGCCAAGTACAACAGGGCAGGGGAGCCCTAAAGCTTAATTAATCCCTCTTTTCCCCTTCTTCCTTTCCCTTGGCTTGTATTCTGTTGACTTTTCCTTCTTTGTTTTCGATCTTATCTAGGCCAATCTTTTTCTCACCTGAACGAAACACAGAGGAACTGTAAATGGGAGTGCATTGCCTGTAGCTTGTGTCTTCTGTGGTGCGCACCTTATCTTCTGGGGGTTCGTACCTTGGCAGCTGTCTCTTTGGAGAGTTTACTGCTGACAATCTCCTGCCACTGTGGATGATCTAGCATCTGTTTGAGATCCCCGACTGATACGTCCTCATCTTTCTCCAGAAACCAGTCTGTGGCATTGTCATTACTGCTATTAGCAGCTGATGGAGACTATACTTAGCTCAAGTACAGATGGTGTAATTCTTTCAAAAATGCCAAGGAACTCAGTTCTGACTTCACATTTTTTGATGATGGAGAGCTAGTTCCTTACCACATAAAGTCACGTATTTTCCCATGGGAACACTAAGAAGTTGCACTATGACTCTTTGCTTAATTAAACAAACCATTGCTGTACAATATTCTTTAAGTATTGCTAAGAGCAAGAGGAGTCAGAAGTGGGGAAAAAATCCTTTGCTGTTCTACTGTATGATCTGTGAGTCTATACTGTGAAACTGGGTAGCTTTTAAATCTTGATGTAAACATTGGGATTCATGAGACTTCTGACTGATGTGACCCTGGCACATGCATCTGAAATTTAGAATGCTAGAAATCATGGCATTTTAAGATAAAAACGAGTTTGGAATGTTGTTAGTATTTACATTTTTACATTACAATAGGAAGCTAAACTCTAGGGACCTTTGAAATGTTGTACGGTTCGATAGTGAGAAAAACATTCCAAAATTTCACAGAAAATGTTCGCCTATTTCAATTAATTGCTGGCTGCCTTACCTTTGAAGTTCAAGTAATGAAAACTTTGATGCAGATGTATTTTCTGTTGTAGAAGTTCATACACTAGGTCAGCTTCTTCCCCAATGTCTTCTATGTTCTTGTTAAGGTCAGGAAACTCATACAGCGTGCCGTGAAGGGGATCCATTTGTGCAACTTTTTGTCTGCAAGGGAGATGGCAGTTATGCAGAAGTCAGACTGGATTTTTCTTAAACTAGAACTGAGATACACAATACTTTAGAGGACAAGAGATAAATATCTAAATGAGCAGAAACATTTACTTGTATTGGCTTATTTAGAAAACCCTGAGGATGAACTGGAAAATTCCAGCATTTAAGTATATGTCTGTGGGAGACAGATAATATAGATAAGGATTATTTTGTTCACAGATCTATTGAAAACAGTGACTTAGTAGTCCAGCTTCTATGTGCTGATCAGAAGCGGGACTCAATGTGTAGGGATGCCTGGTGGAGCCTGGGGGAAGACTGCTTTCTCAGCCAAGGGATTTTTTCAGGAGCAGCCGAGCCCTTACTGAACGTAGCCCTGAAAATCCTTGATGCCTGGGAGGGCCCGCAGTGAAAGAACAGGATGTCTCAAAATTCTTTCAATTTCAGAAATGGCATCTTCAAAGGCTTTGAAGCGCATGTCACAGCTGGGCATTCGTCCTCCTTTATCTTCAAGATTTGCAGCAAACCTCATTAATCCCTGAACAGTCTGAGCGAGGGCAGTAATTTCAGTGTCCCACTGATCAAAACAAAGATGACACTGACGGCAAGAGGGAAAGTCTTTCTCAAAGCCACGGCCACACTGGTCGCAGAACCGGCCGGTGACGCCAGCGCGGCAGTTACATGCGCCAGTGGCTTTGTCACACTTGGGCTGGCTGGTTCCCTCTGGGTTACACTCGCACGCTGCAAGAAAGGGACAGCAAGTTATATCCAGTTGTTCCTTTTCCATGGGATTAACGTATGCAAAAGGTACAATCGTGCATTTCAAGACAATAAAAGCAAACCGGTGTTTGAGTTAGAGCAAAGGGGACTGCCTGGCTAATGGCTCTTCTTCATCTCTAACGTCCGTGGTCCATCATAATCATAGAAGGAACAATATAGGTAAATAATATAAACACTTTTATCCGTCTCATACACACAAATGTATGAAAGCCTGCTTCTCTACATGTATGTCCCATCTCCCCTATCAATATAAAAGGTAACCGTTTCTTTTGAGGCAGTTTCTAATCCAGTTGTCCCCACTTAGTAATACTTACAAATGCAATGCGTCTGGGGATTGCCGAAGTAATTTTCCTCACATTCATCGCAACATCTTCCGCTGTAACCTCGCTTACATGGACACTGGCCTGTAAGCTGTGAAGACAGTTAGGATTAAGTAACTTCCTGCAGAGTCATATGGTGCATATACATTGGGTTTCTTTTTCTCCCTGTGACTTATGTCATAGAGCTGTATGGGGACTGCAGTGACAGTGCTTGCACATGGTCTTTGAACACTGTGGTTTATACAGTATTGGCCCACCTTTCCCATTTTGCTTCTGAAGGTTGTGAAAACGAAATGGACTTTGAGAGGTGGCTTTACTTCACTAATATGAAAGATTTTGTGTGTTCCAGTCTACAGATGCTCTTTGAGAACTCATCCTCTGACTATGATCTGAGAGAGCATTCTTTTCCTTTGCAAAACAGATTAATTTCTTATTTTTGCTGGAGCAAAGTACTCATCTTAACATTTCAACTTTTAACTACATGATATATTAGCTGTAACTGAAAACCTCGAGGGTACATTATGCACATTGCCCTAGAAAATTTATTTTGGAATTCAGCTATTAAATTAAACCACAGGGAATTACAGCTCTGATAACTGGTACAGCTCAGAAAAGCAGTAGTAGCTCTTTAAGGTTAAGAGCTACATTTGCTAGGAAAAATAATAAATCCACTAAATAAACTGGAACAAACAGAAAGTGTATTGAAAGGAAAACGTGAATGCACATTAGCAAGAGCTTGGGATAAGCTCCTGGTGCTCTGAAGTCAATAGCAAAATTGCTGTTGACTCCATGGGACCACAATTTCACCTCTCTATTCTGAAACGCTGTTTTATTTTTTCTACATTCTAGCCTGAAGAAGTGCATAGGAATTAAAGATGAGAAGAGGTACTCTAGCAGTCTGATAGATGAGGCATGATTAATGTAATTGCCACAGCTGCTACTGTATGAAAATAAACACTTAAAAAAATACTCGTAAGATTTTTGGGTCCAAGCCTGGATTTCCTTCTTCCCTCTACGTATACTTACGAGGCAGTTTTTTCCTATGTGACATTTTCTTACCAAGTATTTCTAAGATCCACTTGACAAAGAAACACACAGGCAAAGAGAAATTGCTTACAAGCAGAGCCACATTATCAGAATAGCATGTTTGATATAACGACTCAAAGTGTGATCGCACCAACTGCAAACTTCCAAAGACTTCTTGCTTTCAGGGAGCACGACAAAAAACTATCTTTATTTATAAGAGGGTCCCCGCTATGCCATGCCAAAACACCACCACCCTGGTTCCCAGAAAGCAGAGTAATTTTCTTGCCTGGTTGCACTGGTTGCTTTGGGAGTTTTTTGGATCACAGTCACAGATCTGACATCCTTTTCCACTAGCCAGGTCCCAGTAGCCAGAGGCACACTGGTCACATGTGGCACCCACCACGTTGGGCAGGCAAGGGCAAGCTCCCGTGGCTGGGTCACACAGACAGGCTGCGTCCCCCCCCGGGCACATGGCACGGTGAACACCCACAGGATTGCACGTGCACCCTGGAAAAAGAAGGGCAATTACTACAGCAAACAATAATATAGGCAGTTGATGGACAATCAGAGCTGTATATAAAGCCCATGCTGTAGGTTTACTTCTAATATGCTTGAATACATTTTTAATCTCATACAGTTTACCTATCCTTCTGTTGTAGCTTATATATTGCTTTGAGCAAACTTACTGGAAACTTTCAGTACTTTTAATACAGGCACAAAAAAATGCAGGCATAGATAATTTTGAATCTTATTAGAATGAAATGTTAAATATGTTGGATAAGGAGAAGCTGGTTTACAGTAGGCACTATCCAGCGTGGGAAACCAAGTAAGCCAAGTAAGATAAGAAGCCTTCCTTTTGAGGAGCCAAAAGTTCTTGCTTAACCATTTCTAACAGACATCTTCCAAGAATAAATGAGGAATGAGCTTGAACTGTATTTTAGAGACTCCTAGAAAAAGAGTTTCTTGAAAATACCTGTGTTTGTACCTGGCCTGTAGAAATTAGACCCTCAGTCAGGCACATTTGTGAAAATAGTCTTTGAGAAACATTGGGAAGAAACTTATGCCCTGTGTTTTCTTACACTCCTGCCTTTCTGTTAAAAGTGCCAAGTTATTGACAGGGTCCTCATGGAGTCTGTTAAATTGCCTGAACAGTCTCATTCTAGCCACTTAATGAAAACAACTGGTAAGGCAGGGAGCTCAGCAAGGGATGATCTGGTTAACTGAGCATTGCCTGTTGGCACAAGCCAGCAACATGGATAAAAAATTATCTTTGATTCCTTTACTTTTGATTCCTTCCTGAATAGGCTGAATGCACATTTATTTTTCTAACAGAGTACTGATTTCGTTTCACAAATGAGTATGTCCTAGGAGTGAAATTCAGTATGAGATTTAGTGAGACCTGGATGACAAAGAATTTAGTAGGTGCCATATTAATAGTTATTTGTATCACTGGATCGAAATGTATTTGGTACTCTCATATTTTGCTCCATTCATCTGCTTTAATTTTACTGTCTCTCCAAGGGCTAACTTCTCCCCATAGCCTAATTTCTTTAAAACTTTTCTTGGTGGAAATACACAGTTTCAGTGCTGTTGCTTACTTACTTCGACAGTTTTGATTGAGGGCTGAGCCAAAATACCCTGGTTTGCAGAACTGGCAGTTTGTTCCATGGGTGTTGTGTAAACACTTGGTGCATTCCCCGGTGACCCTGTTACAGGACTCTGGGTCCGTCACATCGATGTTGTTGTTGCAGGGACATGGTGCACAGTCAAGCCTGGGGCTGCCTGGGTTTTTGTAGAACCCGCTAGGACACTCGTCACACTGATTGCCTGTCGGGGAGGAAGGTAGAAATATTTGCTGGCTGATGGGAATTCAAGTGAAACACGTAATTTCCAGTAATACTGTTAAAAGATTCAGACTCTCTGTTCAAATGCACATTTCCAATGGAAAATATCCACCTGTTTGAGACTGTTGCCCTTTAATCCTAATGATCAGTTTAAATTACATCTCCCACACTGAAATCTGATGGAAACGCGCTCTCCTCATCCCAAGTCATTTTTACCAAGGAAGTCCTTTCAGTAGGAGTAAATAGGTAGCCCCTCACACCACACCTCCAAACATCTTTTTCCAGCAAAGTCGTTTCAATGGCAGTAGTCAGGGTTGGCCATATTTGCAGGGTTTTTCCTGGGGTCTTCACCCCAACAGCAGCATGGGAAGGTGGGGGTGCCCTTTCCCAGAGCAATGCAGAGCCCGGCAGACCTGCCCTCCTTTCCGTAACCAAGTGGAGGATTCCCTCCTCCACTTGGTCAGATGACCTCTGGGATGCTCTGTCCTTGCTTGCTAGCATTGCAATTACTTCTGCACGCCATCCCAATGCCCGCCCTGATTGGGGTGCTACCTCTCTGCATCTCAGAAACCTTTCTGGGAAGGCTGGGTTGTTGCTGGGACCTCATCCACTGGCTCATCCTCAACCAAGGACTCTGCTCCTTCACCATGGTCCTCAGGACCAGAGCCTTTCACAGTCTCTGAGGAAGTGAGCCTGGTACCACAGAGGTGACCAAGAGCCTTGCTGGGAAGGAGCAGGAGGAAGAAAGTCCAGAACTGAGGATTGCGATGGTTTGTGAGGGCAGAAGTCCCCTGGGTGAGTACCAATAAGGATCATTTTGGCCCTACAGCAATTACTCAAGCAAAACTGCTCTTGACTTATAAAGGAACCTGGCCTAAGTAAAGATGAGAGCCTTGGTTTAGTTTTTGGCAGTGTTTCCCGTTAGGGTTTGCTTCCATCACTAGAGATCTTTCTAATGTCCAGGGGGAGGGAAATATCTTCAGTTTTCCCTGCAGATATTCAAGCCAAGTCAACGGGATCTTAGGAAGCAAGGCATCAGTTTGCTACAAAAATATCTGCATTTGAGACAGCTGAGAATAGAAACCTCATTTCCAAAGTGACCATTTGAATGGTGAAACAGTCACTTTTGGGCATAACGTCAAAGCAAGATTCCTCTGTACGAAGAAAGATTTTCTCTGATTAGGAAATCTTATCAGCTCTTTAGCTGGAAGACAGGGGCAGCGAGCAGG